GAGCACGTAGTGTCCGAAAACGTAACGTTCGATTGTCGTTGAACGTCCGCGTGTCGGGGATATGAAAAAGAAGCGGAAACGCGGGGTGTCAACAGGTGCGAGCGACAGAGCTAACAAAAGGCGATAGCACTTACCGAGTGCGATAAGCGAATAAAGCGAGAACCATTTTGTGTTTCCAAAACGATTTTATCCTTTTTTTAGGTTTTCAAAACGTATTTGCGATTTTTGGGTTTTCAAAACGCTTTGCAAACTTTTTTGGGTTTTCAAAACTGCCGTTTTGTTGGGCGGGTTAGGCCACAAGCAAAAAAGAAGCGGGAAAGGAAGAATGAAAAGAAGACTAATCTTTTAATCGCGTTGACCAATGAACCTGCCTACCTGACCTAGTCAATTTCGGACGTTCGGTCGGAGGCGTTGTCGATCCAGCAGTTTTGTCGGATGAGGAAGCTTTCGGCTCGATACTATCGGAAGGAACTGAGTCGGAAGGGTTGGTCGGAGAATGCATCGTAGCATCAGAAGTAGGCGTGTCGTCGATCATACGCTGCATTGACTCGTCCGAAGGTGGACGGGAGTCATCGTCGATCTCAGGTTCCACGTGGGCAACCTTGAGACGGTCGATAGAGACAGTTTCACGTTTACCGTGGCGGTCGATAACGAATACGCGATCCTTACGTTTAAGAACCTTAAATGGACCTTCGTAGGGTCGTTCGAGTGGTCTGCGTAGACCATCGACTCGAAGGAAAACGTAAGCGCAATGCAGTAGATCTTGTGGGACGAACGATTTACGTCGTTGTTCTCGCACGTCGGTTACTTTGATATGGCGCATGCTCGTGGCTAACTGCCGAGCGTAATTCGCGTCATAGCGGGGTGTTCTGGGGTTTCCAGAAAAGAAGTCCCCAGGTAGTCGAAGAGGTTGTCCATACGCCAGTTCGGCGCTGGACTTGTGCAAATCAGCTTTAAGAGCTGTTCGGATACCAAGTAGTATCATAGGCAGTGCTTCGGTCCAGCCTAGTGCATTAGCGGCACTAAGTGAGGCCTTCAGCTGTCGGTGGAAACATTCCACCATGCCGTTGGATTGCAGGTGATAGGCGGTAATCCGGATGCGTTGACATCCGAGGACTTTGAGAAGATAATTGAAGGTCGATGATTCGAACTGTGGACCGCGATCGGTAGCCACGGTGGCTGGACAGCCATGTGAAGCGACCCAGCGCTCAACAAAAGCGCGCGTTACGGTGTCCGCGGATACGTCGGGTATACGTACGGCCTCGGGCCAACGGGTGTATCGGTCGATCATGGTCAGCATGTAGACCATTCCTCTGGATGGTTCCAAGGGTCCAAGTATGTCGAGATGGACATGGGCGAAGCGAGCTGAGACTTGCGGAAAACGACCAAGCGGAGCGGACACGTGCCGCTGTACCTTGGCCTGCGTACACGTTAGACAATCGCGTGCCCAGCGTTTAAGATCGCGTTGCATTCCGGGCCAAACGGACCTCTCGGATATGAGCTTGATCGTGGCTCGGATGCCTGGATGAGCGATGTTATGAAGTGTGCCGAAAACTAGACGTCGAAAGGTTTCTGGAACGACGGGTCGAGGTCGTCCAGTAGAAGTACCGCACAAGATTGTGCCATCAGATGACGGCAGTGGATGTGATGTGATTCGTAGCGAAGAAGCTTGTTTGACGTTCTGACAGTCAGGGTCGGTTAGTTGCGCAGTAGCCATGGCAAATAAGTCGATTGCCTGGCCAGCGGTGTGGAATGCGGAGAAGCGCGAAAGAGCGTCAGCACCGACGTTTTTCTGACCTGAAATGTGTCGGTGGTCAGTAGAAAATTGAGCCACGAAATCCAGCTGACGAACCTCACGTGGTGGGTGTCGAGCTGATTGATTTCGAAAGGCATAAATAAGCGGCTTATAATCGGTGAAGATAACAAACGAATTACCTTCTAAGACGTGCCTGAAATGTCGGACGGTTGAATAAACTGCCAGCAGTTCTCGGCTGAACGTGCTGTACTTGACTTCTGCCGGTTTTAAACGTCGGGAGTAGAAAGCGAGCGGTTTCCAGCATCCCTCAGTGAATTGCTGCAGGACGGCGCCAATGGCGGTGTCCAATGCATCGACTGCAACGCTGAGTGGAGCCTTGGGGTCGAAATGGTGAAGCATAACGGCTTCAGCCAAGACCTCTTTGCAGGCCTTGAAGGCTTCGGTTGCAGCGGGCGTCAACTCGACGTTGTCGTTCTTGCGTCCACGACGTAGGTCGGTCAATGGACTGAGCAAGTCGGCACAACGTGGCAGAAATCGACGGTAGTAGTTGAGCATCCCACTAAAACGGCGGATGGCGGCCAAAGTAGACGGAACGGGAAAGTCCTTAATAGCGCTGACTCGGTCTTCGAGCCATGCTGGTCAATTCGATGACCAAGAAATTAGATAGATGGTTGCTGTAAGATGCATTTGTCGGCGTTGACAGTAATGCTATTAGAGGCTAACCTCTCGAAAAGCATCTTGAGGTGCTACGCGTGCTGTTCTTCGGAAGAACTAGCTACTAAGATGTCGTCTATATAAGGATAAACAAAGTCGAGACCTCTCGTGACAGAGTCTATGAAGCTTTGAAAAGTCTGAGATGCGTTGCGAAGACCGAAGGGCATTCGCAAGAATTCGAAAAGTCCGAAAGGTGTGATGACTGCGGTTTTCGGAATGTCATCCCCGGCCATAGGGATCTGGTGGTAAGCGCGAACCAGATCAATCTTCGAGAACACACGGGCGCCACGTAGGCTAGCCGTGATGTCCTGATTATGCGGAATCGGATAGCGGTCGGGGACGGTATCGTTATTGAGAGCGCGATAGTCGCCACATGGACGCCAGTCTCCTGACTTTTTAAGCACCATGTGTAGAGGCAACGCCCACGGGCTCGTAGACGGGCGAATAATGCCTAATTCTAGCATGTACTCGAATTCGGAGCGTGCAATTTTGAGCTTGTCGGGGGTCATGCGCTTGGCTTTTGCGAACACAGGCGGAGCTTTCGTAACGATGTGATGTGTCGTGGCGTCGGTTGCGGAAGGCAACGGGACGGCAGGACGGAAAACCTGCGGAAAACTATCGAGCAGCGTTTGCCCGATGGGTGAACTAAGTTGAGTCGCGTACACGGGACTGAATGACGCGGTGTCGGTCAAAGTCCCAATTACTGCGAGATTCTTAAGGCGGTCGACTAGACGGTGTCGCTTAACGTCGACTAGTAGGTCGTAATGACGTAAGAAGTCGAGACCAAGGATAGGCGTTTGAAAATCCGCAACGAGGAATATCCATTTGAAAGCGCGTCGGAGGCTGAGATTTAGCGTGCGCGAGCGTTGACCATATACGCGGATAATGGATCCGTTAGCTGCGCACAATGAGCTAGTCA